AAAGATAATGAACTTGGACCACTTGCTTCGATAACACGCAAACAAAATATTTTATATAAACAATACTTAAAGGTAAGATATATACCTCTGGAACCTTTAGAAGAAAACATAGGGAGAAGCCTAAAAACATTGGTTTTGGCAGTTTTTAAAAAATATCACATTAAAAGCAGAAGCAACAAGAGAATTAGAAAAGGTACTATATCAATAAACTTTAAAAACCTGCACATCAGCACATCAAGGGAAACATTAAGTGGAGTACAAATGTCATCCAGCCTTTGACTTCTGAAACATAACTATCACCAAAAGTGAGTAACTTAATTTAAAAAAATGGACTAATGTCTTCCAAGACATTTCCCAAAAGAAGCTATGCAAAAACAAGAGGAATCTGAAAACACAATCAAAATCACTTCTGAGAAGAATGCAAAGCAAAATCTCAATGAGCTCTTACCTCTCACCCATTAGTGTGGCCACTATTCAACAAATAAAAAGTAATCAATGTTGTCAAGTATATAGAGCATTTGGAACCTCCATGCACTGTTGGTGAAAAAGAATAATGCAGCCCTCAAGAGAGTAGGATGGAGGTTTTACAAAATATTAAAAATGAAATGTGGCTCATGCCTGTAATTTCAACAATTTGGGAGGCTAAGGTGGGAGAATTACTTGAGCTCAGAAGTTTGTTTTCAGCTTGGGAAATATAATGAGACCCTACCTCTACAAAGAATACAAAAAATTAGCCAGATGTGGTGGCATGTGCTTGTAGTCCCAGCTACTTAGGTGAATGAGGTGGAAGGATTGAGCCTGGAATGTTAAGGCTGCAGTGAGCCATTATTACACCACTGCCCTTTAGGCTGGGTGACAAAGTGAAACCCAATCTAAAAAAAAAGAAAAAGAAAAAAGAAATTATATACAATCCAAAGAAAGAAAGAAATAAATTATCATACAATCCAAAAGAAAGAAGAAATGATTATACAATTCAAGAAAAAAAGATAAAAGAAATTATTATACAATCCATCAATCCCACTTCTGGGAATCTATGTATGCAAAGCAGGACCTGGAATAGACAACTGCACACACTTTTTTTTTTTAGATGAAGTTTCGCTCTTGTTGCCCAGGCTGGAGTGCAATGACGTGATCTCAGTTCACCACAACCTCTGCCTCCCAAGTTCAAGTGATTTTCCTACCTCAGCCTCCTGAGTAGCTGGGATTACAGGTATGTGCCACCACGCCCAGTTAATTTTGTATTTTTAATAGAGGTGGGATTTATCTGTGTTGGTCAGTCTGGTATTGAACTCCCAACCCCAAGTGATCCACCTGCCTCGACCTCCCAAAGTGCTGGGACTATAGGCATAGGCCACTGTGCCTGGCCTGCACATGTTTTTAAGAGCATCCCTCCCCTGCCCATAAAAAAGGTGAAGGCTACTTAAGGTTTCTTGATAAATGGTTAACATATGGCATATGCATGCAATGGAATATGGCTGTACCTTCAGAAAGCAAATCATGCACATGCTACAACAAGCGTAAAACTTTAAGACATCAATGTTCAGTGGAATATATCAAAAACATAGTGACAAAGTGTATGTAATTCCTTTTATATGAGCTAGCTCAAGTAAAATGATTTTTAAAACAGATTCAGAATTATAAAGTGCTCCTGCACAGATGGAATAAAAAGGTGTGAATGCTGGAAGCAAAGTCATCTGCCACCTGGAGCAGGCACCAGGGGACTGCAGGCACAGATTATAACAATGGTAGCAGCAAGGGCCCTGATGAGAGTGGTGGTGGTCTGAGGGGTACTTTGGGCATGTACCCGTGTGCCAGAGGCTGGGACCCACACTGGGGCCTGGGGTTGCCCTCCAAAACTCCAGAACCAGCTCCTGGTATTTCACTTCGTGTTCCACGAATGCCCTGTGGACAATAAATGACTTATCTCAATTTAGTGATCTAAATATTGCATTGACAAGCTATAAATAACCTCAAACACTCGAGTTAAAAACAATTTACCACATTAAAAGATTTCAAACTTCTAATCAGAACGCAGAAAGTCTGTATGAAATTACACGGCATAAAGAGAACAGTGACGAAACTGTAGCCATAAAACAAAACAGGGCTGTGAGGCATATATACCTAGGAGTAAATACATCACAAAAAGATAATTAGAAAAGCAGAAATTCTCTTTAAGTTCACAGTCAGTTAGTTTTGCAGCCTGGGAACAGATCTCTCCACATGCAGACTGCCATTTCTTCACCATAGATATTTTCAATCTCTTATTTGGAGCTACGAACTCCAGAAAGAATACTTGTGGCTAATTACGGAGCATCTATTACACACCCAGTACTTTCTTATGTTTACGATAATTACATATCAAAACATCCTATGAATTACAAAGTTTTCCCAGTGCTTACCTGAACAATTGGCACGATAAACTCATTTATGTCATTTTTAAAAAGTGAAAGGATAACTAATCAGTTCATATACAATAATTCAATTAAAGCAATAAAATGAAATGCTCTAAAACTTAATACAAGAAATGTGAATTTCCATTTAAAAATTTTGTGTGCACTACTAAATTTTATAAAAAAATATTATAATTTCTGACCAGCTCACATAATAAATACTTCATGAAGTAAAAACAAACAAAAAAATGTAAGAAACAAGCAAATTATAGCTCTAGAATGAGTAACAGACACATAAATAGAATTTGCTTGAGGGAGTCTCAACAATGATCATTAAATATTACAGTAATTAAGAAAATATAGATTTGATTTCAGAATGCTTTAGGTTTCTAGATTTCCAGCAAATTATCCACCTTACTAAAATAATCTTCTTTGTTCCAGTATTGCTATTTTCTTTGGAAAAAAGAAAACTCACACAGACACAACTGCTTGCTCCGTAATTTTCTTACATCTAAGTTTTATCATTAGAGTAATACATTTACATATTTTAACTCCATGTAAATTAAGTATCTATTTGTTTGCAGGAAGAGATGTTACATGTTCAAAGAAAAACATGGTCCTTTTTTTTTGAGATGGAGCCTTGCTCTGTCGCCAGGCTGGAGTGCAGTGGTGTGATCTCAGCTCCCTGCAATCTCTGCCTCCTGGGTTCAAGTAATTCCTCTGCCTCTGCCTCCTGAGTGAGTAGCTGGGACTACAGGCCCATGAGCCACAGAACATTTTTTAAAAGCATTCATGACACAGAAATGTGTGAATTACAATTATGCTCTGATATAATCATAAAATAACAAGCAAAAAAATAATTATAAAGTTAAAAATAATTAAAATGGCTGGGTGCAGTGGTGTGATCTTGGCTCCCTGCAATCTCTGCCTCCTGGGTTCAAGCAATTCCTCTACCTCAGCCTCCCGAGTAGCAGGACTACAGGCCCATGAGCCATGGAACATTTTTTTTTAAAGCATTCATGACACAGAAATGTGAGAATTACAATTACAGGTATTGATCGACTTACGACCTATGCAACTTACGACCATTCGACTTTACAAGCACAATCGCTAGCCATGACTGCTCCACGTGTGGCAGCGCACACGTTGCCCAGCTGGGCATACGACAGTGCGGACCAGCTTCTGGCAGCACTACCATCTCCGCGTGCACCATTTCAACTGTTATCCCAGACTCGGTACAGCAATTTGTGTTTTGTGTCTTGGATATTTTTCATCAAACCCCTCCCAATAAACTTCTTATACATTTCGAAGCAATGGACCCAAACATTGAACAACTTGCAAGGATTGAACGGATGGCGCACGACGTGTTTCGGCCATATTGTGAAATTTATGAAGAAAAAAAGAAAAATACCATTCAGACAAAGCTTACCATGTTTATGAAAAAACCAACTCCGGTAACCCCAACCGCTGCCTGAGGTGACCACATCAACGATCCGCAGCCAAGCACCAGCGGCCAATAAAATGTTTTGTACATTATATTTTGATATGTTTTGCAATTGAGAAAATGTTTCCTATGGTATTTTTTACACCTGTATTTTGTAATTTTGTATGTTTTGCAAATATTAAACCAGTTGTACTGGTAATGCAGTGTTTTACTTAAACCTGACAAATGTAAAAATAAAAAACAAAATGGTGTAGAGATGATACAAATGGCATAAAATGAACAAAGAAAATTATGATATATAACAATGAAAGAAAATTATGATAAAATATGACAAAGATTTTTATTTTTATTTTATTTTTTTGTATTTTTAGTAGAGACAGGGTTTCACCATGTTGACCAGGATGGTCTCGATCTCTTGACATCGTGATTCACCCGCCTCGGCCTCCCAAAGTGCTGGGATTACAGGCTTGAGCCACCGCGCCCGGCCGACAAAGATTTTTATAATTTATAACATCATTTCACAGTACTGTACATATAGCCTACTCAACTTACTACCAAATTGTGTTATGACCGGTCTACCGGAACCAATCGTGGTTGTAAGTCGAGCACTAGCTGTATACTCTGATATACTATAATCATAAAATAACAAGCAAAAAAATAATTATAAAGTTAAAAGTAAAGTGGCTGGGTGCAGTGGCTCATGCCTGTAATCCCAGCATTTTGTTGGCGAATATGGGTGGATAACAAGGTCAGGAGATTGAGACCAGTCTGGCCAGCATGATGAAACCCCATCTTTACTAAAAATGCAAAAAATTAGCTGGGCATGGTGGTGCCTGTCTGTAGTCCCAGCTACTCAGGAGGCTGGGGCAGGAGAATTGCTTGAACCCGGCAGGTGGAGATTGCAAGGAGCCCAGATTGTGCCATTGCACTCCAGCCTGAATGACAGAGCGAGACTCCATCTCAAAATAAATAAATTGTATAACTGGACTGTGTGTAATACAAATAAATGCTTGTGATGAATAACTCATTTACTCTGATGTGATAATTACATGTGGTATGCCCCATCAAAACAACCCATATATACCATAAATATATACACATACTATGTACCTACAAAAATTTTTAAAAATAATTTTATCTAAAAAAAAAAAAAGAATACAAATTAATCATATGGGAACAATATTCTTGAATTTGTTTAAAGACACTGGAAGAAAAAATTACTTAGCAATGTCATTCAACTATGTTATCAAATATGTTCCTTGACAGTATGAATTCGCTTATGTACAGTAAGGGTTGAGGGCCGAGAAAAAGCTCTGTCACATTCTTCACATTTGTAGAATTTCTCTCCAGTGTGAATTATCTTATGTTTAGTAAGGGATGAGGACCAATTGAAGGCTTTGCCACATTCTTCACATGTGAAGGGTTTCTCTCCAGTATGAATTCTCTTATGTTTATTAAGGGTTGAGGATAAGTTATAGGCTTTGCCACATTCTTTACATTTGTAGGGTTTCTCTCCAGAATGAATTTTCTTATGTTCATTCAGGGCTGTGGACCGAGTAAAGGCTTTGCCACATTCTTCACACTTGTAAAGTTTTTGTTCAGAATGAATGCTCCTGTGTATAATAAGGCCTGAGGATTGGTTAAAAGCTTTGCCACATTCTTTACATTTGTAGGGTTTCTCTCCAGTATGAATATTCTTATGTTCATTCAGGCTTGTGGACCATATAAAGGCTTTGCCACATTCTTTACATTTGTAGGGTTTCTCTCCAGTATGAATTT